GGGGGACAAACCACAACACCAGGGACCACACCTCACCTCCACCCACAGACTGAAAATGGACAGGCAGGCCCGCCTGTGGAGCAAAAGTGTCACAGGAAGGGAAAACAATAACAAAACAAGCTCCAAACACCTCGCAACGCGTTTTACCTAAACAAAGATAGCCATTAATATTGGCCCAATTTCAGTTGTAGGCTAATCCCTGCCGAAAGAGTACTGAGTGTCTCTCCAAGTACGTCGAGAGACAGAAGTCATTTGGTGACTGTCCTCAAGTTTCCACAGGCCCCTCTGTTGGCGTGTTCACGTGTTTACCACCGTATGGAAAATGCAAGGACAGGCCTAGACGCCACATCCCAGGAGACCTCCAGCCACCCCTCTGCTGATAGAACGCGTGGCTGGCGTCTGTTCGCCATCGCCAGCTGGACTAGGGTGTCTGTTTCATTAATTGGCTGTCCATGAAACCTGAGTCTAATCTGTCTTATTGACAACCCCTGGAGGATTGTGACATCTGATCACAAAATGAAAGCCAGTCATACGGCACTTAGAATTTTGGCCAAGTCAAGTGGGGGGCGTGGGGGGAGACACAATTCAATATATAGCATTCCACCCTTAATCCCACCCAGTCATTGTGTGGGAGTCACAAAACTGCGATTCAAACCAGACTCACTGTCATTGAGTCAATTCTGAGTCCTAATGATTCTAAAGACAGACGAGGACGACCCCTTCAGACTCCCAAGGATGTAAATGCTGTGCTGTAGATCTTTATGGGAGCAGCAGGCTCTTCTTTCTCCCTCCGAGCATCTAGGGCAGTGGTTCTCCACCTTCCAAATGCCGCTACCCTTTCATACAGGTCCTCATGTTGTGGTGAGCCCCCAACCATAAAATTATTTTCGTTGCTACTTCATCACTGTGTTTTTGCTACTGTTTTGAATTGGGCGATCCCTGTGGAAGGGTCGTTAAACACCCCCAAAGGGGTCGAGACCCATAGGTTGAGAACTGCTGATCTAGGGGCTTTGCACCTTGGACCTGGTGGTTAGCAGCCCGGTGCCACCAGGGCCCTGGAGGATAGGGCTTGGAGGGCCATGTTAAGCCATTCACTCCACTGCAGTAGTGCAGTCGGTGTTGTAGTTCCATGTCACCGAGTTGGTTCTGGCTCAGAGTGACCCCGTGTGCAGCAGAGTGGAGCACCGCTCAGCCCTGCAGCCTCCTCAAACCACCACCAGGGTTACATTGGAGCCCGTAGTGGCTGCCATTGGATGGGTACATCTTGCTCAGGGTCTTCTTTCTCGTGACCTGGCACTTCCCCAAAGGAGCTCTGCTGGGGTAGTGGGATGCACGTTGGGTGTTAGCAACAAGGCAGGTGGTTCAAATGTGGCTGACCCATGAGAGAACATTGAGGCTCTCGCTCCTTAAAGACTCACAGCCTCGGAGACACATGGGCCAAGTCCTCCCCTGCCCGATGAGGTTGCTATGCATCGGATGCAACTGGGTGACAGGAAGTTTGGTTTGGCTCCTGCCAAGCATGAGGTCCTCCTCCAGCACCTGGCTCCTCCTGATACCACATTAGGACTCCGGGAGACGAAATCTCAGCGTGTATTTTTAAGGAGCACTCTGGCTGTGCGTCTTCCAAGACAGATTTGTTTGTTCTCCCGGCAGTCCATGGTATATTCAGTATTCCTCCTCAGCCCCCGCATTCAAACTCATCAACTCTTGTTAGGGCTCATTTATTCATCGCCCATGGAGTGGCTGACAACGCCAGGGATTGGGTCAGGTGGCACCTTGCGATTTCACACTTTACAGATCCCTTTTGTAGATTTACCCAGTGTAATACCTGGTGTATAGTCCCTTGACCACTCTTTCCGTGAACAGTGTTGTTGTTCGGTGCCACCGTCGGCTCTGACCCACATGGCCCTGCGCCACCCTCACAATTATGCCCAAGCCCATCGTTGTAGCCACTGTCCATCCGTCTCATTGGGGGGCCTCCCTGTTTTCACTGCCCCTCCACATGATGTCCTTCTCCAGGGACTGCTCTCTCCTGACAACACAGTATGTAAGACTAAGTCTCACCATCCTTGCCTCTAAGGAGCACTCCGGCCGTACTTTTGTCCGAGACAGACCAAGCTGTCCTTTTAGCAATCCATGGTCCTTTCCATGTTCTTCTCCCCCACCACATCCAGATGCAGCGGTTCTTTCTCCAGTCTTCCTTATTCAGTGTCCAACTTTCACATGCATATGAGGCAGTGGAAATGAGTAGTAATCCCCTCCAAAAAACTTTTGTTGATTGTGATCCAAGTAAAATGAAATCCCTGAGTTGTGAGGAGGTTTGTTTTCTCTGTGTGGCGGCATCATCCACCCTGAAGGCTGTAGTCCGATCCCCATCAGCAGTGCTTCAGTTCCACTTCACTCTCAGCAAGCAAGGCTGTGTCACTGCATACCGCAGGTTGCTACGGAGCCTTCCTCCGACCCTCACGCTGCATTCTCTTTATAGAGTCCAGCTTCTCAGATGACTGGCTCGGCCCACAGATTGATTGAATGTGGTGAAATAAGACAGCCCTGAGCCCTCTCCTTTCCTGGTCCTGAGCCATGCAGTCCCTCCTTGGTTGATGCACAGATTTGGTGTGAGCACTGTGAATGAGCCTGGGCGCGGGGGTGG